GAAACAACCATGTTTGCAACATGTTTAGATATGTGTTACCCGTTACTGTGTTTTCTTCAACAAAAAAATGGACCGTAAACTTTTTTCCTGGAAATTGCACAGAAAACATTGATTTTTGGTGAATCTCTTTGATGCTCAACAGTTGCGTGTGGTTGCTCTAAAGCCCAAATCCTGACATTATGGCGGTTGACTTTTCCACTTAGATGAAATGTGGCTTCGTCTGAAAAAAACAATGCGTGAGACAAATGACTCATTTTCTTCTTGTTTTTCGGATATGAAATTGCAAAAATCAATCCTTTTTTGTTTGTCATCCGGTAGGAGGGCTTGTAACAGTTGTATTCGGTATGCCTTCAATGTCAAACGACGTCGTAGAACACGCCAAACGGTCGAATGTGGGAGATCTAGCTCTAGGCCTGCACGACGTGTAGACTTCTGTGGACTTCGAACGAAACTTTGTCGAACTCGCTCGATGTTTTCGTCAGAGGTACGAGGTCGACCTGAGCGTTTCTGTGCACACAGACAACCACTTTCTTGGAAAGTTTGGTGCCAACGTCGAATTCTATGAGCAGTAGGAGCTTCAGTTCCATAAGTTCTTCGAAAATCACGTTGAACGGTTATCGCCGACTCGCACTTATTGAAACGTAAGACGCAAAATGCTTTCTGTTGTGGAGTCGCCATAACGAAACAAACTAACGATTCCTAATTCACTAACCATTACGGTGCCAAATTTATCAACTAGATAACTTAAAATAAACTTAGTTATCTAATATTTCCATTAATACATTGGTCATTAACCTGCGATTAACCGTTGCCGAAATATATCAGTTCGTAATTGGATGAAGACTTTTGAAACACCGTCTATATTTGCCATTTGGTGATAATTGATACACTCGAATGACAAACTATGAATTCATTAAATTTACAATGTTACAATACACAATATTATTTTTTTTTTTTTTTATAAAATATAAAATATATTAAAAAATTGTTATTTTCATTAATATAACAGATCATAAATGTTGATGTTTGATCCACTGAACTAGATACTTAAAACAATAAAGTATAAAATAAAATATAATTAATAATTAATAATAATAGCTAAAAATTCCGATATAAAAATGATACATTTTGTAAATGTAATATTTGTAGGATGATGATAAATTAGCAATAAACAATTTAACTAAGTGTTCTTTTAATATTTTTAACATAACATAATAAAGAACTGAACAACTACAAAGCATACTACAAAGCATACTTATAACATGAGTGGCTGTGTGAGTATATGACAATTGACAAATATTTTAAGGTTATATCTAAGGTCATGGAACAAACACTACAGTTCCTCCAAACTTAATTACAGAATACTATTCATATAAAATACATAATAAAATATTAACTTTAACAATCAAAAGTAAATAAAATAAAATAACAAAATATACAAAATATAGATAGCCAAAAAACAATATATTAATTAATAATAATGACAATTAAAAAATATTTATACTAATAACATATTTTACAAATTCAATTTATTAGGTGAACGTTTAACTCGCTTAGGTCTTTCAGTACTAACACAAGTATCCTTTTGAGAATCGAACACATCCTTCCCTAACTCTTCAGTTACCTCCAATTTTTCCTCAATTACTTCTTCTTGCTCCAAATTAATGTTTTGATCTGTACTCACCTCTTTTTCAACAACTAAACCACAATCTATAATCTGATTCACATGTCTCTTCCAAATTCTACCATCACCTAATCTCAAGTCATAAGTAACAGGAGATAATTTCTGTAATATAACTGCTTGTACCCACTCATCCCCTCCAGTATAATTCCTACACATTACTAAATCCCCAACAATATACTCTTTATTTCTATTACCTCTATACCAATTTTTATTTTTATCCAAACTTTTTTCATAATTAACTTTAGCAAAAGGTGTCAACCTATCATAAGATGTAAATAAAGAACGCCCGATATGCAGTTGAGCAGGACTAAAACCAGTAGAACAGTGTTTAGTGCTATTATAAGACAAAATAAATTTCAACACACTAGTATCAATACAATCTTTATTATTAGTACTAGAAATTACTTTCTTTAAGTAATTTTTGAAAGTCCTCACTAAATTCTCTGCTGCGCCATTAGATGAAGGGTTATATGGAGCAGTTTTAATGTGAAAAACACCATTGTTTTTAAGAAATGTTTCAAACTCAACAGAACACAAAGAAGGCCCATTATCAGATACCAATTTTGCAGGTATACCCCAAGTTGCAAAATACTCTCTTAACACCATAACAGTAGAACTAGATGTTATATTTAACATTCTTTTCACAAAAACCCACTTTGAGTATGCATCTAAAATAACTATGAACATCATACCCTTAACAGGTCCTAAAAAATCTACATGGATTCTTTGTGCAGGACCTTCAGGCCAAGGCCAATTATGTAACACACTCTTAGGTGGACTATCGCTAAGAATTAAACATTCTTTACACTCTTTTGTAATACATTCAATTTCAGAATCCATACCTGGCCACCATAAATAAGATCTAGCCAATGCTTTCATCTTGACAGTACCCATATGTGTACTATGCAATTCCTGCAACAATTGTTTCCTATACTTTGGAGGAATAATTAATCGATGTCCCCACATCAAACAACCCTGCTCGATAGACAATTCCAGTCTCCTACTGTAAAATGGTTTAAGAACTAGTGAAACATCCTTACTGTTATCAGGCCAATTCCCAGTAAACACTTTAATAAACACATCACGCAGAACAACATCTTTTTTAATTTCATTACAAATATCTAAATCTCCAATAGACTTAATATTAGTAGTTACCATATTAATGAAAAAATTATCACACTCTATATCATTACTACCAATTACACTTAAAGGCAATCTTGATAGAGCATCAGCATTACCATTTTCTAGACCTTTAATAAATTCTATTTTATAAGTATAACTGGATAAAAATATAGCGTAACGCTGTAGTCTATGTGCTGACATAAGAGGAATTCCTTTCTTTTCACCAAAAATACTGACTAAAGGCTTGTGGTCAGTCCTCAAAATAAATTCCCTACCATACACAAACTGATGGAAATATTTAATGGCAAAAACTAAGGCAAGGGCTTCCTTGTCAATTTGTGCATAATTCTTTTCAGATGCACTCAACGTCCTAGATGCAAAAGCAATAGGCTTCTCCGACCCATCTGGCATTATATGTGATAATACAGCTCCCACCCCAAAAGGACTAGCATCACTAGCTACAATTAATTCCAAATTTGGGTTATAATGTACCAAAACCTTATTAGATAAAATAGATTCCTTAATTTTAGAAAATGCTTTACTCTGAATTGCATTCCAAACAAATTGTGTATTGTTCTTCAACAATGCATATAACGGACCAGCGATAGTAGACATATTTTCTACAAATTTACCGTAGTAATTAACCAAACCCAAAAATGCCTTAACATCCTGTGTACTTTTAGGTATTGCCACATTATTAATTGCTTTAATTCTTTCATCGGGTATATGGAGACCATTTTTATCTACCTTGTAACCTAAAAATGTAACATGGTCGGTAAAAAAATTACATTTTTCTTTCTTTACCGTTAAACCTGCCAAAGAAAGTTTATCTAAAACACTATACAGTCTTTCACTTAATTCTTTGTCATCTTTCCCAGCTATTACAATATCATCGTAAAAACATACAGTGCCTGGTATAGCACTTAATAATTTTTCCATTTCTCTTTGTAATAACCCTGGAGCTGAGGCTATACCATATGGTAATCGATTAAACATAAACAATCCTTTAAAAGTAGATATAGTTGTTAGTTTTTTACTCTCTTCACTAAGTACCAACTGCTGATACGCTTGGCATAAATCTAACGAACAAAACTTTGCAGCCCCCTGAAACACAATCATTAGATCAGCTACTCTAGGAATAGGATATCTATCTATTTCTAAATACTTATTAAGTGTAACTTTATAATCCCCACATAGTCTTATAGTCCCATCACTTTTTTTAACAGGAACTATAGGCGTACCCCAATCTGAAGTTTCTACAGGCACTAGCAAATTTGTATTCACTAGTCTATCAATCTCATCGCTAACTTTACCTTTTAAGGCAAATGGTAATACTCTGGGTTTAAGAAAAACAGGCTTAAAATCTTTTTTAAGAATTAAATCAAACATTTTGTGCTTATAACAACCCAAAATATCATTAAACACAGACGGAAAAGTTTGTACCACATTCTGGTATGATATTAATTTACATAATGAATAAGTACCAGAAAACATTGGAATACTTAACTTAGTCAACCATTCCCGACCAAGAATTGGAGGACCACCCTCTTTAACAACAACCATTTCCAATTCTTTACAAACATCTTTATATTGAACTCTAACTTTTAATACACCTAAAGGCACAATGACAGAATTGTTATAAGTTTTCAACCGCACATTAGATTGTTCCACTCTGTTCAAATATTTAATCTCATAATTTTTTAAATCATTAACATTTATAACAGTCATACTCGAACCCGTATCTATTTGAAACTCCACAATTTTATCCTCAACACTCAATTTCACCCAATAAGGTTGAACATAATTAACATTAACAGTTTCTAAATTGAATAAATTATCTAAGTTTAAATCGACATCACATTGTTCTAAATTATTAACTTTTTTTACCTTAGCTTTACACACTTTTTTTAGATGACCTAACTTAGAACAATTTGAACATGAATATGATTTGTACTTACAAAATGGCTTTGTGTGACCCTTTGTCCCACAACAATAACAAACCATATCCTTTTTACCATTGGCATTTGATGTAGTAGCCTTCCCATTATCTTTTGTTGGTGGTATCCTGTTCCCGACGTTGTTTTGATACTTCTTACTCTTGAGCTGTTTATGATAATTAACTGCATGTTGTTGATCCAATTTTGTGACGTCGTTACTTGCTGATTCCATTGCAAGTCCCAATTCCACACACTTTTTAAAGGTTATAGTACCTTCTGATAATAGTTTTTTTTTTAATATTATTGTCCTTAACGCACCATATGAATTGATCACGCAAAGACTCATTCAAACTGGTAGCAAATTCACAAAACTCGGACATCTTCTTGAGTGCCGTGGAAAACTGAATAATAGTCTCATCAGCTGCCTGTTTACGCTCTTTGAATTTATAACGTTCTGTTATTAAATTCGGTTTAGGATTAATATAATCCGACAACGACTGTTTAAGATCATCATAACTAAGATCCAAGGGTTTTTTAGGCGTACATAAGTCACGAACTAAGGAATATCCATCATTCCCTAATAACGTTAGAAACATTAACTTTTTCTTATGCTTATTTATTTCATTAAAGTTAACATATAACTCAAACCTTTCAACCCACGCATTGAAATCATCATCCTTTAAACGCAATTCCGACATTTGCCCTATGCAAAAACGGCTATTACCAACACCAAAAGCTTGAGTAACAACTTGAGACGAATCTTGTTCATTTGGCATTTTGACTCAACAATTGATAAATTTCCACGTGTTCCAAATTTCCAATACTTCAACAGTTCAACACACGCGAATACGTCAATACTTCGTCGCCATTGTAATATTTGTAGGATGATGATAAATTAGCAATAAACAATTTAACTAAGTGTTCTTTTAATATTTTTAACATAACATAATAAAGAACTGAACAACTACAAAGCATACTACAAAGCATACTTATAACATGAGTGGCTGTGTGAGTATATGACAATTGACAAATATTTTAAGGTTATATCTAAGGTCATGGAACAAACACTACAGTAAAAAACATTTGATTACTTTTGTTATTTCTAAACAAATATTATTATTTTTTTTTTTTTTTTGTTAAAACTGTATCAGTTTGGATATTTAACAATTTAATAATTGCTTTTGAATTTGATTCAAGTAGTTCAGTTGATCAAAAATATACATCTATAAATTATTATATTTGAGAAAATATTTGAAAATATTAGACAATATGCAAAATAATAATTTTATATTAAATAATAAAATAATATTATTAAATAGTAAACTTTAAAAAAAAAATGGGGGAAAAATATCCGCATACAAAATATATCAGGGGGGAAATATCCTACTACACCCAAAACACTCGGGGGAAAAATATCAGGGACTGAATTATTTAATAATTGGAAATATATATATATACAAGGAAAATGAACATAATTTTTGCCCAAAAAAATGTTTGGAGAAAAACATGATCTCATTTTAGGACTCAATTGTTCTGTAAATATTGTTTTATTTAGGTTATATTATATATTCAGTATTTAATTTTAAAAAAATTAATTTCATTTTATAATCTAATCCTCTCCTTTTTCAATCAGTAAAAATGTAAAATACGTTCAAAAACATCATAACTGTACATACTAAATTCGATCATAATTTCAATTTCATGTAAGGATTTAATGCTTGAAAAAACTTAAAAACTTCACCATATTATTGTAGACTGTGGAGTTCTTAATATTAATTTATTTTGGTTGAAATCAATATCGTCTTTCTATATTATAATATATTTATATTACCTACTAACTTATTTACTGATTTTCTACGGTTAAGTAGGTAGATTCATAAACATTTTGCTTCGGATTTTTACTGTTCTATAGGTGCCGTGATCTATACAATTTTTGAAAAAATATTTCATTCGTTAGAAAATCTGTCTTTATAAAATTATGCCTAAAGCGAAATGCGTCATGGAGTCAAAATTAGGTTGGATTGTATTCCGGAATGATGTTTGTACTTCCGGTTAAGTTTCTTCGAAAAATGTGTAGATATTTTATTAAAAAATAGTTGTTGTCCTTTAATTTCTATATTGAATTTTATGTCGTTTTTTGAAAAATACTGAGAAAAAATTACTTGTTGAACTGTTGAAGTACAATATAATATATATAATACACATTCGATAATAGTGTTTAAACATAATTTTTTATACACCCGGCACTAAAATAAAAAAAAAAATTAAAACTGATATCGTTATCTTGTTTCTATAAAAATCAGTTTTTTTTTTCATAATATAGTAGGTAGTAAAGCTCAAGAAATATTGACACATAGTTTTATGAAAGCTTGTAATCGGAGAGTGGTAACAAAAATATAAATAAAAAGAATGTATTTTTTTTCACATGGAACTCGATTGAGTTGACCTGATTTTTTTCCTTCTCTATACATATAAAATTAAATTATCATAATCGTCGGAAATCGTTAAAGAACATTCAAGGAAAATGAATGTCAGTGTCTCTTGGTCGTTATGTATAGTCTGCGTAGACATCCAATAGTTTTCACTATACACGCACATTGTATTACGATTAGTTATGGTTTTTCTTTTGCGGTGAGTTTCTGAATTTTATTTCAGTAGGCATCTAACCTAACCTAACCTATATAATATATATATATATTGTACGTGGCCCCCTCTTGTGAAGGCATGCAAAATAAACGCTTGTCTTGAAAAATTTTCGTTATTGAAAACTTATCGAATTCTACATAATAATATACCAATATATTTAAGTGTCCTATAGTACACACCGTCATTTGTCTGATAATCTGTTGAAGTTCGTAGATCTTACCTATATGCGACCCACGAGTAATTATTTATGTGTGCCGCTGTATAAATAACGACGCACAATAATAATGTGGAACCGAAAGGAACACACTGCATAAATATAACGTACATTAAATACTGCTTATGTAAACACGCGCGCACGTTAAATTATTGCCATTGTCGTATCGCGTGTATTCAGTAGGTACCTGTATAGCTATATACCTTCACATTACAACGTGAAAATTACTTTGTTTACACTTCGGTAGTACATGCACCCGTGCCTCGTATTTCTAATTTCTATCCGAGACCCGTGTTCTGTGCATATCCACGAACGCGGCCAGGGGCGGATTGGGCCACCTGGAATTCGGGAGTTTTCCCGGTGGGCCGCTTTTTCAAATAACTATGTATTCTTAAATTCCTATTAGGTACCAGCCCAGTAAATTTGCATTTTTTTCCCGATTTTTCAAAATAAGATAATACGAATTGCCGGAATTGGATTGCGGACAGTATGCAATAGTAGGTATATCAGGTAGGCAATCTATGATGGCGCAACGATGAGAGACAGAAAACAAAAATATAGTATTTTTCGAAAAGCAAAAACAGCAAATGTAATATAGCGGGGTCACTAGTTAGGACAGTTAAAATCGAAAACAACCCTTGATATGTTATGTAAAACCACATTGGGTGATCTTTAGGTAACGACAAACTTCGGAAAAAGTCTACTTTACTTGACATCCCGTGGAAGTAGAAAATAGAAAAAGTCAACCTGATTTGAGCAGTAAGCACTGTAATATTCAAAAACTATGATTTGCTGTAACTTTTGAACAGTGTTTAAATTTCCGAAAATTGTTTTATACACTTTTTAATTCAGTATACTAATACAGTAGTACACGTATTTTGGGTGTAAAAAATTTGAGCGTCATTCGTTTGGGCGAATAATCCAAAATTAACTTGAGTAAAGCATATATCATTTCGGTCAGAAATTAACCGATCGTTTAGGCGAATTTATAAATTATTGAATAATAGGGAAGTAACATTACGTAGGTATATAATAATTTCTATAATATTTAGTTACTACAGCTAAATATTATTATTATATCGTTTCGGCTGATCGGTGAATACAGATAGTGAAAGATAATTTGTTAGATTGTACTAAGACGGAGACAAAACATTTTACTCAATATTATATTACATAATAATACTAAAGGAAAACAAGACTATACAATTTTTCTGATTGTTTAGAATTGAAGTACCTACATAATGTTATTATGAATAAACCACAGTAAAACATTTTTTTAGAAAATAAAAAAAAACACATACATTTTGCATGTTGATTCTGTTAATTTACCTATCAGGTATATTAAGTGGAAGTAAATTATAAGATTTTATTTAAGTCTAAAAACGCATTATTAAATATTATTGAATAGGTAATAACCTTTCTTATTAAATACAAAAATCTTAACATTAGTAATTTAAATTATTCACTTTTACTGTGTTATATATAAGTACTTGGAGTTTGGACTATTATAAATGTGTAAACATAAACTGTTCAAAAATAAAAATAAATTTGATATCGATGTATATACACTACGAATAAAGTTTTATAAATTTCATATCTTGCCAAACGTGTAGTTATGTTAAAATAGTAATACATAATAATATTATGTTGGCTAAAATTAAATATTTGGTAAATTGGTAAGCCGGTATACTTTGTATTTTCCCGGGCCGGAATCTCTCCCCAATCCGCCCCTGAACGCGGCCCCTCGCCATCGTCCTCTCGTCCGCCGACCGCCACAATAGATGTTTCTTCGGCCAAGAGTCCAGCGTTCGCAAGACCTCCTCCGCAATCCTATGACCCCCGGCCAATGGTCTTTCGTTTTTCAGATACCTATGGCCGGGTGCGTGACGCGTTGTATACGACCTCAATTGTACATAATAGCAGACAATATTATTATTATTATTTATACTCTATACAGTAAATACGTCGTATACGTTTTGCGGAAAAACACAATAACGAATTTCCCGACGGGATCTGTGATTATTGTTCGTCCGCTTTCTGGCACTTCTGCAACAATGCCCGCCAACGAGTTTAGGGATTCTGACACACATCGTTCGTGTTGTACCGCGTTAGAGCGCAGTTCGCTGAATCGGATTATAGGAAGTTTGCGGGGAATACTAAGTCTGAATTGTATGGCGTGCACACCTCGAGACTATAATATATTATTATTATGGTATATTATATTTATTGTCCATCATGCGTTTAGTGTTGTTTCTTCGACTTTTCCCACACACCGTCGTCGAAGAGAAAATATTCATTCGTTCAGGCCACGTCGCAGCCAGTGCGATTCGCCCATGCACATAATATTATATTCGATAAACTACGGTTCTGTTGGTGAGGCTCGGTTTCTCCAAAATTGTCGAGATTTTCTTAAAAATAGTGACGTTTATATTATTTTGTTTTAAACTGTTTTTTTTTATTTGGTAGTTTTCTCGTTGCTTGTCATACCATTGCTGCGACTAACACTCAAAATAATTATATTACGCTATATTGATTTAACTATATAATGTAAATATTATAAACTAACTAAAAATCTAATTGTACTTACCTATTCTATTACAAAAACAGATAGTTTATACATAAGTACTTCAACCAACTTCACCCAAGTTAAGATGAATCGATCTACCTATCGTTTTCTGTTTTACTTTAGTTGAAATATATAATACAACAACCCAATATTACAATGATTAATTTGTACAATATTCCTCTTCTTAATTCTGGATATATTTTTTATGTAAATGCTAAGACTGGTAGGTAACAGATTCAACGAATGCCAAAAGCCGACGTAAATCCAATATAATTAAGATTGGTATTTGCCTTTACTTGTTTACATGAAAAATATGTTTTGAATAAGAAAGAAAATCGTAAAAGAAATCA